AATATCTTTGTAATGTGCTGAAATCGTTGCATGAATAAAACTGAGACTGGCTCCATTGCATTTCCCAGTCTGATTTGCTGACCATCTTGTCTGCCCATAATTGTTTTCTGCCATTCATTTCCTCCAATTGTCAATTATTACTAAAACAATTATGAAAAAAAAAAAGTGTGTGTCTTTGTTTCCTGTTGCTGATGAATGCAGTGAAGTCACAGACCAGGCTAGTGCATCACAATCTTTTCCATTACAATGAATTATGCTGTCACAAACAGGATACAGCTCTTTACTGGGCAAAGAGGCTGTGGGGCTGAATTAGCACAAACATTACTGTCAGCATGACAGCAAGAATCTAGAACACTGGGGATTTTGCTCCCCATTTTCTAAAAGCACACTAGTTTTTGTTGCTGATTATAGAAGTAGCACACGCTTCTCCTGGAGACAAGTAAAGAATAAAAATCACTACCCCACCATCCAGAGATTCCTATTGTTAACATGTTCAGTATATGCATTTTTATTTCTTAACTGTCTTTTCCAAATATATATTATTTTTATGAAAATAGATTTACACCATGAATACATTTTTTTTGCCTTCTCTTTTTCACTTAACATTTACTATGAACAACTTCCAATGCCATTAAATATGTCAGTGTAATTTAATGGTGATCTAAAACTTCATGTTGTGGAATGTTATTTAACAATTCCCAAATTTTTTGTGTATTTAGATTCCTAGGTTCAAATTGTGTCTGTAACAAATAGGTGAACATTCTTTTACGTGTGTTTCTGTTTCAATTTATGATTATTTCCTTAGAAGACATTGTTAAAATACTTCACTTTTTACTAACAAACATATTGTATATTTTGAAGTAAATATTTAAAATAAAAGGTCTAGGGAATTTTAACAATAAAGGAGCATATGGGCATTAAAAACTTTATAACCAAACTTGATATATGTGCCTACCTAACAGGATAAACAAGTGGGAAATTTCTGTCATTAGCAAATTTTAAAGACCCGTAAAAAAGATCTATTCGAAATGCCCTTTGGTCCGCCAGCTGTAAAAGTGTAATTTCATAATGTCCTTTTCCAGAATCTCCTAGCTCACCTAGCCTTCAAACCAATTAGGAGCCCATACATGATTCTGCAGTGATTCTGTGCAGTCCCCTCATGGAGGCTGTGCTTCCCAGGGCTGGGCTGATGGATACCTGGTTCTGCCGCTAGAGGGCATCCAGGGACCAGGAGAGGAATGAATACCCCCTGATTCAGTTCCCTCTTCAGCCAGGTCTTTATTTCACCAGATACCAAGGGGAAATCAAACACAAAGCACAAGGAGAAAAAAACAATTGAGGTAATAAATGAACACATAAGAAAACCTCTTAATCAAACTATTCTCATTTCCTTGTAAAGATTAACCATAATGCAGAATTCTTGAGGGCTACCACAATTAGGAATAATAAATGACCAGGAATCTAGTTTAAAACTGGAAGATAGCGTGAACACGACATGACCTTAGGTCACTGCAAATGCAGAAAGGGGATCCAGAGCAGATGCTGAGCAGCCTCTGTAAGGGTTAGCAGGAATGTGAACTTTAACTTCACACACACCTGGGTTCCACTTTCTACCTCTCACTCACTATGTAATCATGCAAACACTTTTTGAGCTTCAGTTTTCTGGCCTAGAAAAGGTGGCTTGTCATGGAACCTGTCCACAGGTGGTGGTGAGCATTAAGTAAGAGAATAGACATCAACGTTCTGATATGTGGCGCGAGCTCAGTCAGCGTTGGCTATTGTTTCTAATCGTCACTCCTCCACCAATGGTTCCTTTTTTCTAGTTATCATTCCCTGACTAGCTCATCATCATCTCTAATGTAATATGTCTGCAACCAAATTTCTCACCTCCCTCAATAACTCCCTAACCTAAAGTTATCTCTTTGGCTATTTCTTGAATTGACCATAAAACATAACAGCATCTCTATTTCCTCTCCTCCTACAACCATATCCACTTAGTTTGTAAAATATATGGATTGCTTCTCTCATGTGTCTCCCATTGGCTTATTTCTCTCTTTTTGTCAGCAGAACCCAGACCTTAGAGACCTGCTCTCTTCACCCAGCAGGTCTTGGATGAAATGGGCAGATCTTATGGTGTCATGTCCCTTTTTAAAACCCCCTCAGTGGCTCCCCAATGTCTTTAAATTATATTCTAAACTCTGTGGGAAGGCAGTAAAGTCCACCACAGTCTGACCCTATCTTTCTCTAGATACTTCTCTCTTGCTTATATGCTCATGGCCTCTTCTCTGTCAAACTGGTTGATTTGCAGTTCTCTGGTATGGTTGTCAGATTTAGGAGGTAAAAACATAGGCACTCAGTTAAATGTGAATTTTAGGTAGTCAACAAATAATACTTGCTTGTATCCCATGCAATAGACATTCATACCCAATTGTGCAATAAGACATACTAAAAAAGTATTTATTTATCTGAAACTCACATTTAAGTAAGAATCTCACATCTCATCTGGCAGCCCAACTACGTTCCTATCTCTGCCCATGCACACAGTCTTGGATGCTTAAATCTCTCACTGCACCCAAACTCACATATCCATGAAGTCAGCCTGGGTCAGGTCTTCCTTACTGGTACTCAATAGCTACATCATTGATTTGGTTCCATATATAAGATGTCCTGTGCCCTATATAATTCCCTTTCTCTAAGTAAATGATGAAATTACCAAAGTTAGAGATTCTATTAAAAGTAGAAGTTAATTATTATCTTTGGTGGTATCATATGCTGCTGACCAGTAATATAGAGAGTAAGGAGATGAGAATGTACAAGAAAGGGAATTTCCAGGGGCCACTAACCTGGATTTGATATGCTCACACACAAAAATCAACATGCCACAGAACTTTCCCCCACAGCCTCAGGTCAGGGAGGCATAACTGCCTGATCTTGGCTCTCTTCTTCCCACAGTACACTTCAACTCTTCCTACTAGTTGTGGGTTACATTTGGTGACATCTAAATTTCTCACCACTTCACAAGATCTCTTCATTAATCTATTTTCACTTATATTTAAATGAGTGGCACTTTGTATGCTGTAAATACACCATGATTATAGGAGTGCTGAAAACCAAACAATAAATTTCTGTTTAATTAGTGCAAGTTATTCGCTACAAGTAAGCAATTTTTATTAGCTACAAGTAATCAATTTTTTTCAAAATTAGGTAGCTCCTAATATTGTAACCTACTCAAAATTAGGTAACCCCTAATTTTGTGACATACTCTCAGGAGCCTAAAAACTGCATGTAGAAACCTGTGAAACTATTAAACAATTCCCAAGAAGTCCCTTTGGAATTTTAAATAACTGGCATTTCATGAATACATTTATGAGCATCTGTGGGCATCCAGAAAGCAATGACCAGAACTAAGATATCTAGACGTGAAAAAACATTTTTAGAAGAAAATATATAACCCATTTATCTATTGTTTTAAATTCTTCATTAGTGTTTAAAACATCTTTATTCTCATAAACAGATGAATGTGTTGAATGAGAAAGTTCTTTTGAAACTGTAAAGGGAATGGGTTCAACATTAATGGAAAGCAGATCACTGCCAGCAGCCTCTATTGCTAGACATGTGAAATGGCAATTGATTAGGGAGCTTAGGTTTCACTTGTGGAAATAATAAAATGGGTTCAGAATTGACTGTGCAGCACTTGCGTCTTCTGGGAAAAAGTACTAAGAGTTTGTTTTGTTTCTTCAGACCCATCATATTTTTCCAGATTACTTTCATTTCCTTCTGTAATTCAGAATTTAAGTTTGACAAATACATCTTTGTCTTCTGTTCAAGAATATTGCATATTGCTACAGTTCCCATGGAATGAATTCTAATGTTCTAATCAGAAAAAAAAATAACCCCTAAGTGCTGCTAGGACAGACAACAGACTTTGGGATCCACCTGGAGGCAGAACCAGGCCTCCTGTGCCCAGGGAGATCTGACTGGGTCAGCTTTTCTGGCTTCCAGCTTTGCTATCTTCCTGTGACAGTTTCCACACACACTAATCACAAACTGGGATAAACCAAAATAACAGTAACACATTTCCTTCTGCTCTTCCTTTTCAATAGACCACCAGAAACTTAGTCCTTTATTTGTCATTGTGGTAACATTAATCAAGTTACTTCAGGACACCAATTATCAGCAGTGGATGCAAATGTGGTGCATCATTTAAACAAACTTACTTGTTCGGTGCAAGAAATGTTAAAAGAATCTGGAATGTCCCTAGAAGCTTTCCAAGTTTTTATGGGCAGCATCAACTGTCCCTGGACTTAATCCATTCCCTTTTGAACTTTCTACTTCCAAACCCAGGAACATTTCAGATCACTCAGAAAATAGATGCTGAATGAATTTTTTAAAATAATAATTTCAATGTAAATATGAACAGTTACTAGAAGCTGTTCAGTGCGGGATTTTGTGTCAGACAAAAGGTTCTCTTTTGTCTGAAATTGAATCTAAGAGCAGCTTTGTATTTAAAAAATCTTTATAGTCACTTGATTTTATATGCATTTTAGCTTAAGGTTAAATTTCAGTTTCACACATATCTTCATTTTTGCTTGAGGGCATGTATTCCACAGTAGTATTGATCAAAGACATGGTAAGCAAACTATTATGAACCATCATTTCAGAAGGGTAGAAAAAAAGACAAATATCAAGGAAGAATTTCTCAAAAATGATCTTCAATGAAATTATACTATTTAATCCCCTTTCGATAGTGAAACTGGATAAAAAGAATGCCAATAAAGTGATTTTAAGGATACAACTATTTTTCGAAAAAATATTTTTGTTGGTGTGAAAACTGAGAAAGTCATAACTGAGTCTGATTTCCAAATTCCTTGAGAGACACAAGTAAAGCTCAATGAGTTACATGAGGATCTGCCCTGAAATCACATACACTGTGTTTAACACTCACAGTTCATGACACTCATGTAGACACAACCACAGCCAGTCTGAAAAATGACACTTACCTTCACTCGCCGACATGGAATCATTGCAAGCTCATCTCTATTATATCGTCTCTTTCTTTTCACTTCACCGAACCCTGACAAGTTTCTCTTCCACGTGTTCAGTGTCCCAACACCTAGAGAGTCTTGCACGTTCTTCTAAAAAGCTGTCATTACCTCCACTACCCAAATCTAGTGCAAAAGTGGGAAGAGAAAAAAAAATTCTAATTTGCAAGCTGTTTACGCCTAACAACCTCAGTGAAGCTGCTAAGCTTTGAACTCCATGAATTAAAGGTTGTTTGGCTAAATGGCAGGCACACTTCCTCCTATTCTTTCTGAACTTAGTTTTCCTGCCTCCAGTGGGTTTTTTTCCTTTCCTGGGCTATAAATAGGCTGGTCGTAAGAGTTCTGAGGAAAGAAGAAGGCAGGAAATGTACTTGATTTCAAAAAGCAGTCTTAGATGTATGTGTGTGTCAGTGTGTGTGTTTCTTTCAAATCAATACCAATAAACAAGCTAAGGAAAACTCAGCTTTGGTATATGCACCATAGTCAAAATAATCTTTTATTTCCGATAGTCTCGGTTTTTCTTAAAGTTATAATTTCCCATAAGCAATGCGGGTTTGGAAATGTACCATTTTCTATAAAATAACATGAATAAAACTATATCAAATCAATCCTTCATTTCCTAGAGAAATGCCACTTAAATTGAATTTCCAGGGGACACTGGGGACTATCATCCTTATCGCTTTTCATTTTAAAAAAAAGGAGGTGAAGTGCTTTTTGAGGAAGGTTCTACAAAAGAAAGATATCTTCAAATATCTTTTAGAAGAAATGATAAAGTTCAATTTATAAACAGGTCATCCATCTGCACTAAACCAGTAGGTTATCCATGACCTTGCTATTCAAAGTTGTTCAACTTCTCTCATAAATATATATAACACAAACTAAAATAAAAATTATGTTTTTTACATGTCAGATTGAACAAAATGGAGATGTTGTCTGATACTATTGAAGTGTGGAGAAATAAACGTTCATAAAATAGAAGGTAGCACTAAAATGTATGTAAACTATTTGGAGGGCAATTCTCAAATTCTTTCAAAAAATTTAATGTTCTTTCTCTAACAAGAAACATTAATATGGCTGAGTCTGTGAAGGGGGAGTGTAGATCTGGAGAGGGGAAACAGTTTAGTTTGGCATATTCATATTTTGTGAGTTTTTAATTGCTTGTACTCTGTATGCCATCCTTTAAAAACTTATTAATTTTAAAGACAGAATTTTAAAAACTGTTATTTCCTAAGGCCCTGCATATGATTCCATTTGTTCTCTTAATCAACAAATCTGTCATTTATCTATCCATCATTCACCATTTGCTGTCTATTAACAGTTGTACTTTACACTGGGGTAATACTTTGAGATGCAATACAGGGATAACTAGAGATTCCCTTAAAAGAAGGGGGCTCCACAAACCACTTCATCAGTAGCACTTTGATCAGACTCCCTTGGGTGGAACCTAATAATCTGCATTTTAACTCCACATGATTCTGATGCTCCCTAATGCATGAGGAACACTGGTCTATGGAACTATTTCAATTTCTGTTTTTGTTTAATATTCCAACTTCTAAAGAATTTGAAGCAATTGGTTGTTACTTTTACATTAGAATAATATTTTAAATAATAATATTTTATGCCTTTTATATTGGTGACTCTTATTGGAAAGACTAGGAGAGTTTTTACATATAATGTTAAGAAGACACACATTTCCCAATTTACTTTGGAAAAGCTAACTAGAGTAAGGAAACTCAAAGTGATGGAAACAACAAGCTGATGGCATTTAAGAGAGACACGAAGGAAGTCTCACATCTGAGGTAGTCATGATAAAGATGGATAGAACAAAAGCAAACTTTACTAAACTGTATATTTGAAAAGTATGAGTTGTCTAAAATTAGATAAAACCAAAGAAAACATAATCAGCTTTCTAGATGAAAACAAAATGGCTCACCCCCTATTTTTTTGTTTAGTGATATGATTATTGTTATCTGACTTGGTTATTTCTTGTCCATTTGTAGCCTTAATGCACAACCCTGTATAATAGAAACAATAGCTAGAACAATGAGCTCAGCCAGAGCTGATGAGGGAAAAGCAAGAATATCTCTATCCCACGCACAGATGGGGAGGAAAAGATTTCTTTAAAAAGAGAGACAGACAAGCGTGAATGACCTCTCCTTTTAATAGTAGAAAGGAAGGAGTAAGTCTGTGGTTATCAGGACATAACAGCTGCAGGGTATTGAAGTGGCTAAAAGGTACATGAGTTGACATCAGCGAGAAATGGCTGGCAATGGGATAAGATGCCTCCGGGAGTGAACTCTAACAAAGCCCAAGTCCACTTACCAGCCATTCATTGTTCTCTGGAAATGTTTCTTCTCTTTTGGTGGAGAAATCTTTTGCTTCTCAAAAGTAACAACTTCACAAACTCTCCATTCTGCTCCTTTTTAGAAAAAAAAACATTAAAACATTTACAAGAATGGAAAGGCTTTGTGCTCTATCCTAAATTGATGATAGACTCTCCCAAAAAGACATTAGAGGGAAATGTCAAAGACTTCCCAGGAAAGGCATTATTTTGACTTTCCTTGAATATTTTTATTCTGTAGGTGGAAAAAAAGGTATATAATATAAAAGAAACTCAAGCAAAAATCCTCGAGGAAAATATATAAAAAGTGTGTTTTGTTGCTCAAATCAACTGCATGTGCTGTATGCATCCAAGCCCATATGCCTTGTTTACAAAGTGCAGAACTTGTAGGCAATTACTACAAGGTAGAGAAGAAGTTACACTTTACCCCTCTGGGTTCTTCTTAGATTGGTAAAACAATCAAATTAACATTAGATGGATGACTAGGAGAAAAAGGGCAAGTTAAATTACATGACTGTAAATTCCAGAGTAAATAAGATCAATCTAAAGGACTGACACCCTCTCTCTGTGTCTGCTGGGTGCCTATGGACTTCATCCAAGCCCTGCTCTAGAAAAGGAAGCATAGGAAAAATAGACAGTCTGTGCCTGGGAGTCACACACCTGCCTTCAAGTTTGACTGCCTCATAACATCTGGATGACCTTCAAACCATCAAATATCAATTTCCTCATCTATTCTTCAAATGAGAACAATAAGCAATCCTGACATAATACCTGGCCCCAAAATAGTCTGTAAGTGGTTGTAATGGTGACTGAAACTATGAAAAAGACCATTTCTCCTTGATTTTACTGTCAGAATAGCTGCAAAGTGGTATTTGCCACTCTCTGTCTATTTAATGTGCAAGATAGGGATTTTTCTCTGCTATTTTTCTCTGCTATTTTCTACCATAGCAGAAATGGTATGTGAGATTTGACAGAAAAGAAGGAGGGAAGTGGGGGAGAGAGAAAGAATGGACAGAGGAAGGAAGGTGGGGAGAGAGAATGAAAAGAGGGAGGGCAGGAAGGAGGGAGGGGGTGAAACAGGCAGGCAGGAAGGTTCATTCTTGCTTTGGCATAAATAATGCAGGCTCCAGCCGTTAAATTTTTCATTATAGGGAGTCTGGCCCTCAAAGGTGACATATCCATACCTTGAACATGGTTTTAAGTATTAGACTATTTCATTAGCTTTTCTGCTTCATTATTTCATGTGCTTACAAATGAAAACCTCAAAACTTCAAGTGGCCTTGAGCCAGTGGTGCAAATAAGATCCTCCTCCTTTGGTTGCCCTTCCCTGGAGTTGGCTCTGTTCTCAGTGGGCTGTGCTCAGAGGGGAAACGGCTGCAGCAGCTCCTGCCCTTCATCCTCCCGCATTCAAGTCTAGCATTAGAGAAAACTTACTTTCCCAGGAAAGTATCACCCAACATCTCATGGCTTAGGCTGGCTTAAGTGCATCACTGAGCCAGTCCTTGTGATAGGAAGAATGTTTCTGATTGATTTAGGCTAGACTGTGTGTTTCACTCCAGGAATCAAGAATAGCAGAGATTTGAGGAGGCCAAGGCAGGAGGAGGGTTATGTTTTGCTGTACACCCAAACACTTGCTATCCTGATACTGTGACTTTTATAGATGTAGGGTGCTGCACAGTTCTGTTCACAGAATAATAGTGGATATTGCCTTATATTTTTGGTACCTAAAAGTCCATCATGGTTTCCAAGAAGAAAGGGAATTATTGCCAAAAGAATAGTGTTTACTCAAAGAAGCAAAACTTTAGAAACTCTTTTCTGATGATTAATTACAACAGAGATCTTCAAGTAGTTCAGGGTAACTGATGTGAACAAGAATCAGCTTCTTCTAGAAGTAGAGAGAGTTTGATGTCAACTACAAGATATCTTTTTTTTTTTTTTTCAAAGTGATGTGAATCTGCCACAGTTCATGGCTCCAAAGGATAAGTCACCAAAAATTAACAGGCTTGGGGCCTCCCCGGTGGCGCAGCGGTTGAGCGCTGGGTTGCGAAGCTGCCCGCGGCCTCTGCGGCGCCGGTTCGATCCCCGGCTGCTCCCCGGCCACAGGAGAAGGGTCCCACATGGCACGCAGACCTCTCCTGCCGCCCGCTGCTCCCCTCAGCAGTGTACTTCGGTCCCTCTGCCTGCTCTGCTCTCCGCTCTGGCTCTGGGGAATTCTCTCACCCTCCCGCGCTTCTTTTTTTTTTTTTTTTTTTTTTTTTTGTGTTTTCTTTTTTTTTTTTAATAATAAATTTTATTGTTGTATTCCCCATACAATTGCAGCCCCCCCATTCTGACCCCAATCCCTCCCCTCCCGCCCCCACCCCCCTAAAAGTGTCTCTGGTTCATAGTTTTTTGTTGATTTTGATTTTCACTTTCTTATAGTTATTCGTTTTCCTGGTCCCTTATTTAAGTTTTCTAGATTCCTGCTATGAGTGAGACCATCCGGTATTTTTCTTTTTCTTTTTGGCTTATTTCGCTGAGCATGATCCCTTCCAGCGCCATCCATGTTGCTGCAAATTGCATGTGTTTATCTTTTTTGAATGCTGAGTAATATTCCATGGTATATATGGACCACATCTTCTTGATCCAGTCATCTATTTTTGGGCATTTGGGTTGTTTCCAAAGCTTAGCTATTGTAAACAGTGCTGCTATAAACATAGGGGTGCAGGTGTTCTTTGGAATTGATGTTTCTGTGTCCTTTGGGTAAATACCTAGGAGTGGAATTGCTGGATCATATGGAAGCTCTATGTTTAGTAGGTCCAGAAATCTCCACACAGCTTTCCACAGTGGTTGGACCAGTTTGCACTCCCACCAACAGTGTAGAAGAGTTCCTTTTTCTCCACACCCTCGCCAGCATTTGTTGTTGCTAGTTTTT